TGAATTCTCTTTCACCGTTCGGCAAAAACCGGTGACTATGACCCGCGATTAGTTCCACTATTTCAAGCTGAGATCGCCCTCGTACCTTTGTCATCAACCGGCTAGAGATCCTCCATTGGTAAATAACAGTTAGTTGAGGAGATTCGTGGTAGGTACTTGTAAAAACCCACCTCATTTCAAAAGAAATATATGTGGCATGCGACTATACTTTTCATAGGTGCAACTGAAAATGTCCAGTACCACTTTCTTACAGTATACCTTCTTTTCAGCTAACGAAATCTCGCCTTGTGGTTCCACAAATTGTTGTGCTAGTTATTGAAATTGGTTTCTACATTCTTGGCACATTTGCTCTAGGAATTATCAGTGTTACGGGCGCCAAAGTGACCTGGATGGCGTTGCTGACCGTGCTATTCTTCGCCTTTTTCGCCAGGTAAGTCTCATTTGGTACTCGAATACTTCTTGAATAAACCTAGTGGGAGGCAATTTTTTCAACCCTCATATCAGACCAACTTGGGCATCGCAAGCGGGCCAGAATCCATGTTCTTGTATTATTGTGATCAATTTTGTTAAAAAATTTCTATGCATGCTGTCAAGAGCCCCAATCAAAGAAGTAACCTTCCGAGTGTATACCACAGACCCCTCGAGGCCACAGCACTAATACTAGGCCACCAAGCCCAGCAAGTAGTGATTAGAAACAATTCCAAATCGTGACGGTTACCTAGTTCGGGTGAGGGACCCGGAGCTGGACTACTTTCCTTCTATGTAATAGAGTTGCACCTGAGCATCTGAGTTAAGAAAGTATACATACAAATGTATAGGTAGGTACAAAGGCACATTGACTCAAACAGTCAAGAAGTAGTGGTGCCACAGACTATTTTGGATTTCAAATGAAGTATAATACAAGTGCGGAATAAGGCTGATATTTGGGAATTCTCAGCGATGTTTAGCTGCGCTTTAGGCACTGCTGTTGGCACGTCCAAATAAAAGGCACAGTTCACGATAACTTTAGGTTATCAAGTTCTGAACAAACAGTGGAAGTGATAGCCCGGAGTAGGGGAAAAGTGCCTAGAAAAGACGAAAATCGACGTATTCTGGGGAGAATATAAGGCTTCAAGAAAGCAGTAGGAATAGGGGTTGGACGAGAATGTGACGATAAAATTTGCTTGGAAAGAGTATTTGGACGAGCTGTCCAAATACTCTTTCTCTCGAGCTCGAGCTGTGTGTGTGCCATTGCGTACAGCTTTTTACAGCAAGCTGCATGCGTGGCACGAATGGTAGACTTCATGGCTTTTACAACGCTTAACGAGCGTCCGCCTTGGGTCATGTATGTCGTCTAGGTGGGTCCCGGGAACCCTTTAACGCCTAGTCTAGACCATTGTTTTGGCGGTGCAGCGTATCCTGTGCTATCTTTGGGGTAACAGGTTCATCCTAAAGTGCAATTTTAAAAACCATTCTTACCATAAACCGTGCTTTTACGTGGATTAAACGGTGATGCCCTCATCTTCATTTTTTTATGTTCGAGACAGCTGTGACATGCATATCATCCTTTCATAGTGTACCCCTATACTCCCATGGATTTTTACGGACACCATTAATATAACGGGAAGATTGCATTTTATCAATTTCCATTAACTCATTGTAATTTCCAGCACAAATCTCATTCTGCTCGTCGCCTATCATCGCATCTTGGAGGAGAAAAACCTCGCCCTCAAAGCACTCTTGGCTACAAAAAGTGTGCACTTCAAAGAACGGCAGGGCTTATAACGAGTAAAGAGCCCTCAATCTTCTCGCATATTGTACAGATTACTAGGTAATAAAGAAATTGACTCTTTGTGTCACATCGTTACTTTGGACGCCGAGGCTTCTCGTGAATTTTATGGCTACTTGAGCAAGCACCCGTTCCTTTCTTCTCCAAACGCTTTGTAATTACAAGGGAACTCGCCTCCAAGTCGAGGGACCAGGATCTTATCTTCCAGGGTTGGGGGAAGGGGTGGGGGAGGGGGAACCAAATGTTAGGACCCCGACTTCAGACATTGTCACTCTGGTTCTGCAACTTCGGACTTTATACAGCTGGGCACACGATTTTAGAACGATTTTTTCTAAATGGATTCAAACTATGATGACAAAATAGAGATTGTACAGTTCAACCGTTGGAATTCATGGGATTCAGGGAGCTATGTAAAACAGTGGTAAGACTAAGTCTCATCAGCGAAAATAGTACGTATTCCTAGCTCGAACAGAGCCTTAATAAGGCTTCGCAGGTTCTGCGAGTTACAAAGCACGATTTCTTAGCTTCGTTCCACACTATTAGAAGATGCATCTGTTTACGCTTTATGAAGGAAAAATGAGGCGAAGAAAGGTTGAATAATGGATGTCCGAATTTGTAGGCTCAAAAGGAGTGATCACGATTCTTGCAACCACAGCTCCCATTTCATGAAATAGAAGTATCAATGGTGGGGAGAGTTCAAAGAGAAATTCGAACGTAAACAACAAAAATATTCAAATAAGAAGACATTGGCATTTACACTCGAGGCTTTTGCGAAATTTGATTGTCTTCTAGATGAACGTAGTCGGATAAGAAAACTGCACTGAACTCCTATACCACTTCCTCGGAGGCGCCAATTCAGCTCGGCTACCGTATACATAACTCGCGATGGAATTCCTTCTGCTAACTGCCCAGTAGAAGGGAAGATTCGAAGGCTAGAGATAAAAGCCCTTTCATACAGCAACCTCATGTGAGTTTCCCGTATAAGGTCGCCATGTATGATAACCTTCGAACATATAGTGAATTTGGTGATAAGTACACAAGAAAGTTTTAAAAAGTTGCATCAAAGGTTTACGTTCATTCGAAACCGTGGAACGAAACTAGGCCGATTCATCGTGTAGGATCCCTCCACTTCATTTTCACGTACTCCAAATGAAGGGTCGTGGCACGAGAACCTTTAAAAAGACTCAAGATCAAATTCGATGCAGGTGATGAGTATACATAGAAGCTGGCAAAGCTGCCATCAAAAACTGCACGTTCGACGACAGGGTCATGGTCGAAGGGACTGGAAGGAGCCATACTATTAGTAATAAGTTTTTGGACTGATCTGGGCCTAAAGAAATCGCCGTTTCTTTTTCAGTGAATAAAGCAAGTATGACATGGTCAAGTGGAAAATTCATCTCATTACTACATTGGCTTCATTTCCATGCTCATANAGTATACATAGAAGCTGGCAAAGCTGCCATCAAAAACTGCACGTTCGACGACAGGGTCATGGTCGAAGGGACTGGAAGGAGCCATACTATTAGTAATAAGTTTTTGGACTGATCTGGGCCTAAAAAAATCGCCGTGCTATCCCATTCCGATTCTTTTTCAGTGAATAAAGCAAGTATGACATGGTCAAGTGGAAAATTCATCTCATTACTACATTGGCTTCATTTCCATTCTCATATTTTTTTCGAACTTATTGAAACCAAATCAACATTGCTGTAACTAGTATTAGGCAAACACAACATCCATTCATGCTGGAAGTTGACGATTGTGGCTTGATTTCGCTATGCTCAGAAACGCTGAGTCATACTTGGGGAAATGAATGGCCGAGTAACCACATTGGCGTCTCATGTTACATACCCCGTCCCCATCTTACGAGTTGAAGCTTGTGGTTGATCATTGCCGCGGAGGAGAAGCTCAGAAGGGATGTCTTTGGAAATTCTTGTCCAAAGGAAAAGGATCCATACCGTAAGAGGACGCGGCGCGCGGGGTGAAGCTGCTAAGTGCACGACCCACAGCTAATTAAGAGGGCAGTAGCAGAGAGCATCGCATGACAAAGGTGAGGTTCCAGCTGATGAATAACTATTTTTCGTTGTCCTGCACTGAGAAACTGGCCTTCGATGACGATTAATATGGGTTCGGGTACCTACAGTTTCCCGCTGTCATTACCGTAACTAAAACAACCGCCCATGGACGTCATGTGCGTCAATTAGTATCCGAGCTATTGTTGTTGTGGTTATGCTTAAAGCGGAGCGACAGGCCACAAACACAAGAGAGACTTATTTGGTTTGCATCGGTGTCGATCACCTGTTTAAGAGTTAGTAGAACTAAATCCCCCACTCCTCCTTTCGCAAAAAAGTACCCGGAGCATGATTGTCCAGTGTACCCAACTCCTTATCTTCATAGGCAAGGAAGTAAATGCGGGAAGCATACAGAGGACGTAGATGGAACTCCCTCTTAGAAAAGTCGCATTCCGAAACGGTCATGATTTGCTGCAGTCGTGTCCTTCGCTGATTCCCCGCGGCTGCGGTCACACTAAGCGAGAGATCACAAGACGATCACCCTGGCTGAACGAAGTGCCCAACAGCAAGCAAGCGATTCGGTAGGGCCAGGGTGTCTGCGGCGTCATCGCCCGTTCACGCAAGCGGCCGCGGCATGGTCTCGCGGCGAAACCGACGTGGCGCGTTACGCGGGCGGGCGGAGCGACACGACGGCGATGTCCGCCGGTCGTCGAGGCAGCGCTTTCAATTGATTTCGCCCGCTCGACACAGTCGGTCGCCCGCTCGCTCTTGACCTCCGTTTTGCTTGGATAGATTTTCATTCTCCTAATGATCCCTTTTATAGTCGACTTGAAGTCTGTTAGTCCGTGTAGTGCTCGTTTATACTCCATCAGACCCTGTCACTACAATGGTTACAACTCTCATTACTTTCAATAGGCAGTTTATAGTCGTTGGTTTTTCTCATAGTTGTATGTAGCTGGTATCTTCTAGTTTGACGATGCATGCTTATGCATGGGATTTCTTCATTACTTTAGGGCTCTCCTACGTCCATAATGGCTGAATATTACATTTCGCTTTTATATAATGAATCGTGCTCGTTTCGTTGGCAGTATAATAAACTGATAAACAAAAACTGGAGTGCCGGTGGTTGGATGGCTGGTCGTTGAAAGCGGCAGCGACTGCAGGCGACCCTGTCTCGCTCGTGCTCTCTCCTTGCCGCGCGCCCTCTCTTTCACTCTGTCGTGTTCGTTCGCTCGCGCTCTCTCGCCATTGTCGCACCCATCACTGCCGCCGACAGGCGAAATCAATGGGTGTTCATGTGGGTGTGCGTGCGAACAGCCAGACTTATACTATGGCCTCGTATTGGACAAATGTTCTCGACGATTAATGCGACGACAACGCGCTGTCGCGCCCGTTCCAGCTAGGGCTGGGGCAGGCCNNNNATGAGCATGCGACAGTCACTTTCATATACACTTGGGCTCGTTGGCTTAAGCTTATAAATGCCTATTCAGTCCTTATCCGAAACCTCAGGAACCTATAATGAAATCTTACGCGCTGTCGTTCTGACGGGACACATTAGCACCCTTATCGTTAGTTCAGTCCATTTCCTCTATCTCTCATTCTCATCCCGTCTCAAAGTAATCCTTTTTCATGGCGTTATTCTCTTTCTGTAATCATTTCCTAGTCGCGGGCAGTATTACAGTAAGTCTGTGGGTATTCGGAAATTGAAACAGGGTTGGAGAAAGAAATAAGGTATCCCGAAACATGGAAAGGGGACCTTAAAACGCCGCTGCTTAAATTAGCGATCGGGTTAGAAATGTTTACAAAGTGAGGGAGAAGAGTTTTTCAACAACTTAGATTTTTCACCTTGGCCCAGGGATGAAACACGGAAGGGGCGGAGAGATACTTGGTTATGCTTATCTCGTTATCCTATTGATTTATTGTGTAACCTTTTTAACCTGGTGAAAAAAATTGCCCATGAATAGGACTTTCCCACTTACCACTAGTTTTGCCAGTAATTACTCTTTCAAAAGTTTTCTACTTCTTTCACCACGATCATTGCAACAATTATTTTGTGACAGAAGGCCGTAGAAGTGAAAACAGCGGTGCTCATCCTTTTTATTCACCAACCGCAACAATTTGCAAAACTCAGCCCACGGCCGGGATCGAACCGACAATCTTCTGATTAGAAGTCAGACGCCTTATCCATTAGGCCACGCGGGCTTGCCATGCATGCGGCGATGAACCGCTCAAGACATTACACCATTGCTAAACATATCTAGGTAATGTGAGCATGAAATAATTAGGTCTTCACAATGAAATGTTCTGATTGATGATTTTTCCGTGATGTCAATTAAACATAGTTGTTGCTCCATGCTGAAATGATAGGTTTCAGGCAGTTCCTGCGGAAAAATTGATAGGTATCATCAAATGAGCTATCCAGCAAAGATTCTGCTCATCAAATTAGTGAGGCAACATGAATCTATTTGGAATACCAGATCCCCTGACTATTCTCGAACGGATGTTAAACTGCGTGCATGGACTGACATCGCGGAACGGATGCGGGCCAATGGATTTGTGGCAGAAGGTACGTTACCGTTCAGTAATTAGTAACAGTCAATCAAGGTAAAAGGTTATATTGCAGTTGGTAGACTGAAGGTGATGTGGAAAAATCTTCGAGACCAGTGGAAACGGAATATAGCTCTAAAAATGCCACCTGATAGAGAGTGGTATTTTCAGCGTCGTATCAACTTTCTTGCGGACACGTATGAGGGAGGGTGAGTCTACAGGTCATCAGTTCAAATATTTCCCGATACTGAAGAGGCTGCAGTGTATAGGCTTTTACTCTTTTTATTTGGAATATTTCAATCGGGTTAGCATCGTATTCGGGCTGCTCATGAATATTTTTGTATGCCTCAGCTTCGCTCATAAGTATATGCAAGAAGCTCCCTGTCGTTAAAAGGATTTTTTTGCAAGCTGATGTACTTTGAGCTCATTCTGGCTCCAGGGTACATTTCGGAACCAGAACATCAGGGTAATCCTTTTTTGTAGATAAATTACCCCGATTTGCAACCGAATAGGGGCTCTGCGGGGGTTGGAGGCAGAAATGGGAGGTATAAACGATTACCCCGATTTGCAGCCGAATAGAGCTGTTATCAGTCAAATCACCCTGCCTGTCGCAAGTTATCAGCTTTCAAATTGACAGTGCATGTGGCATGGTAGTCTTGCAGTTAATCATGATAAGGTAAACTTTGACAGAAATATTGGCAGTGAAATTGACGTGGGTAGGGAAAATAAGTGATAGGTTAGATGCAAAACAATGCTTATAAAGGGAACCCTTCCAAACGGCCAGTTTTCTGCCAAACTCAAACATCCTGGGAATCAACAAAAAGAGAAAGTGCATTCCTCTAAGTTTAGGCTATTCTTTAATGTTACTGTTAACTGCTGAGGCAAGGTCGATTCCTGATGGGCTCAGGATCAACTGCGTTAAGTCAGGGAACTATTTTGTGCCGCGATACTCTCAAAAACTAATTATATGCGCTGCAATTGCCGCATCATCTCCATACTTCCAAACAAATTTAAATGTGCATCATTCACTTTTCCCACAAATTTTTTAGGGTACGTGCTCATTGCTCACACTACGACATGGACTCTCCGAAAGCCAGTCCGGATGCCCTCAGGCCAGAAGAGTATAGCTACTTTGACCACGACTATTCAATCGAAGGAAGCTCTATGATGCGTGAACTTTCACCGACTCGCACCACAGAACCGAAATCAGAGATGCGCGACGATGGTACTGCGTGTGGTCCTACCGTGATCACTATCATAGACGAGAATTCTGATCAAAAAGTGTCTACAGTAAAGAAGGCGACTAAAGAGATGAAGCAAAGTGATAACAATCCAGGCATCGCCATTGTTTCCTCTGAAAGGTCAGCACCTACTCCACCGCCAGCAAAGCGGCCCCGAACTGAGGAAAAAAATGAAGGTACGATGTGAAATTTCCAGAGGTGCTTGGCATCCCCTACAACTTAATTTTAAAAAAAAGAGGTCATGGTGTTGCCTTCTTCCAGGGATTGAATGCTTGTTTTTTGGTGCAATTTTCGTTTTTTTGGTCCTTAATATGGAA